GAGGCCGTTAGCGGTCCCACTGGTGTGAAGTAGGCAGGGGTGAGTGAGTGTCCAGCCAGAGCGGAGGAGGGAACTGGTAAAGGGGAGAAAGGCAGGGGACAAGTGGAGACTGAACCACCCAGTGTCACAGCTCAGCAGGAGGAGAAAGCAGAGATGAGGAGTGTGGCTGAGGAGAGCGATCAAGTATGCTTGATAGGTCTCTGTGCCCCACACCCTGCACCCCACCCCACCCCCACACACACATTCAGACACACACACACATACACACAAACAGACACATACACACAGACACACACACAGACACACACACAGACACACACACACAAACACATACACACAGACACACACAGAGACACATACACACACACAGACACACACAGAGAGACACACACTCACACTCCAGGCAGCACTCTGCTACCGAAGCTGTCCCAGCCCTCTGGATATTTTTCAGTATCCAGCCTGATTACTCCACCTCTGCCCCAACTGGACTGGAGGACCAGAAGGTACCTTGGCAGATTCCGCTGTGGCGATGTCTGGAAGAACGGCCCTGCTCTCCTTCACAGTCCAAGTGGCTGGAGTGCTCAGCAGGGAAGAGGTCTGTCTGTCCTCCCTGCAGAAGACAGACACTCTCAGCGATGTGAGCAGAGTCCAGAGAGGTGGAATCAGAGACCTGTTATTTTCCCAGAAACTAACTTGCTGTTGGAAGTGTCTCTGTCTGGGGAACAGCTAGCTAGAGCAATCCTTGCTAAGGATCCATGTCTCTGGACTTTTCATAATTAAACACAGGGTAAGAAACAAACCAAACTCAGTTCAAAGGAGAGAACTGGAGTACATAAGAATGCAAAGCCATGTGCCCCTGACAAGTGGCACATCTGAACCAGTGAGGTTCCGGTGCCTTGTCATATGTAAGGCTGGCTTGTCAAATGTAAAGAGCGGAGCCTGAGACCACCCAGCAGGCTACTTCCTAGCTACCTGGTCTTTGAGCCCGGCTAGCCCACGTCGGCTTTTTCCTCAGCCAGTGCCTGGCCACTTGTTCCGTTGGTCTCCTTGTCCATTAGGGTCCCCAAAGCAGCCCTCACCTGCCCGCTGTCCCTCAGAAAGAGGAGCCCAGGCTCAACCTTCCCCTCACCAAGAGCCCTCCAGTCAGTCTAGCCGGACCGGGCTGAAGAGCAACGGAGAAGGAAGGGCCTATTTTTTTCACCAGCTGGGCCAATCCGGAGTGTGGGTGGCTCATGGAGGCGGGAGCAGGATTATGAAACTGAACACATCTTAATTTCAACGGGTGCTGTAGAGCCAGCCCAATGGGAAGTCCATTTCCCAGAAAATGGGCCTTGCTGAGAAACGGCCCGCTCTGACATCTCTCACGTTCCTCCCACAGGCGCGCAGTGAGGTGGAGGGGCAGAGGCCCAGCTGCGGCATGACTCAGGGTAAGAGTGCTTGTACGTGCCAGACCCTGAACTCCACCCCCAGCCCTGCCACAGAAGCCCGATCATCTCCTTCCCAGATGTGTGCCAGGCTCCACACCGAGTGGCCACTGCTGTCCCGGGACCTGGAGGTCCACAGGGCCTCTGCAGTGCTGTGGTGGGTTCGCCTGCCCTTGGCCTTAATTCTCCATCTATGAGGTGCACATCAGACCAGTGTCGATAGCTTTAAACCACTGTGAGATGCCCCTGAGCATGCGCTGCGTCACCCAGCAGGCAGCCCAAACGTGATAGATTCGCAGCAGCTGTACTCACCATGTCCAGTTCCCCCTCGCC